AGTTTGCGGTCTAGGGTTTAGGGCTTGCTGGTGCTTCAGGGTTTTGGATTATGCGGGGTAAGGGATTATGTGCGGAGAAGTATTGTAGGGATCCACTCTCCGCCGCCTGCTTAAGCACCCGCAATGTAAGGGCCTTAACAATTAGANNGGGTTTTGGGGGTTCCTGATTATAAGTATGGTATAAGATACCCCCAAGCCCTATTCGATTTATTAAGGCACTTATATAAAGTGAAGGTGCAGGCTTCGTAGTGCTTGTGGTTTGAGGGTTTAGGGCTGATTGCCAACGGTTCCGGGTTTAGGGCTTGCTTCTTGAGGTTTGACCGGTGTAGGGTTTACGGCTAAGCGTTTAGGGTTTCAGGTTTCGTCCTCCAGGAGCGGAAGGCAAAAACCCAAAAAGATTGAGTCGGGATTCCGGATTCTCGAAATTTGAAGCTTTACTACTAAGCCCCCTAAATTCGAAAACCCTACCAACATCCGGTTTGGGACAACCCTTCGCACACCAAGTCGAAAGTTTATCAGATCAGCCCGATAGGTAAACATAGCTGTCGAGTAGTCCCGGGGTCAATTCGGGTTTGGGGCTTGTGACGACGCCTGAACAGCTTGCGCCGGCTGCTGCATACTCTTGCGGTAGAACCTCAGAGGCAAACCGGCACGAAAGCACGGATCTAGGCTGCAATTTCTATTCGATCTCGGCCCTACAGCCCTCATCCCGATGTTGGGGTCCGTGCAAAATGATGCGAGGTGTCTGGGAAACAGACATATCGAGCTTTCGGAATTTCAGCCTCAGCTACCAATGACAAAGTCAGTGCAACCGAGCGGATTTGGGGTATAGGGTTCAGGTTGGGTTTAGGGTGCCAGTGTAACCACTGAATTCCGAAACTCTGATAGGATACTTGTCAGTTTGAGACCTACCTTAACCTACCAAAACCCAGTTTTTTGTAGGTTCTTATTATAAACCCAAATATGGAATTTATAGGGACCCTGCAAAAAAGGTAGGTTCTGGTGGGTGAACGTACTACGGACCTCTGCGTCTCAAAGCTCGGAGCTGCCAGAGCCCTGAGCCAATAAAGAGTGCCGGGAGTTTGCTCCGTAAGTGGCTACCCAGGGGCTCCAATGTAGTTCCTTTTTGGGGTCTGTTATGGCTTTTGGTAAGGAATTATAGGTATACTATCCAAAAAGGAACTACATAGGAGCCCTTGGGTAAAACAAGCCTCAACACCAAGTTCCTTGTAGACCCTTGCAGTCAAGATTTGCGAGCCGTAGGGTTTTGGGGTTTAGGGTCCTAATTTCTCTGCAACAAACCCCGAAACTCGATCCTAAACTCCAAAGCCAAAGGGTTTCGGGCTTAGGGGTTTCCCTGCAACAAAACCTACCAGAAGCCCTAAACTCCAAAGCCAAAGGGCGCGAAAACCTACCACAAGCCCTAAACTCCAAAGCCAAAGGGCGCGTAGCCAATTTTCAACTTCGGGTCCAACATGTCTGGGCCGGCATCCGACTCGCGGGTGTCCCCGGGCTCACTCCTGGTACCCGCCTCAGGGTTTAGGGTTTCGGGTGTAGGGTGGGATGTCTCAAAATGGCTCGTGTCAGGGCTTCATAAGGGTCTTTCGGAGGGAACCCTAAACCCTAAGCCCTAATAGTAGTAGTTTGAGGGATGGGGCTTCTTAGGGTTCCATGAAACGATATTGGCATCTCTGGTCACCGGTTCGTTCTCTGGGTAGTTCTCTAAGTTAGGGTTCCTTTCAGGGCCCTTTTTACAAGAGTGCCGTACTATAATGGGGACCCAAAATGGGACCCTAATTTAGAGAACCACCCATTTGTTGAACTGATTTGCTGAAGCTGCCCCTTGAGGAAGGGCGTGAACGTGTGGGAGTGTTAGGGCCTTGGGCGACCCTAACCCCCCAGGTACCTACTATATAGGGTACTAGAGCCCCTAGGGCCCTATATAGTAGGTAGCTGGAGGGTTAGGGCAAGACAGCATCAGATATGCTTGCCGCAGGAGGCGTAAGCACTGCACTGCGCAGGCGTATCTATCAGCTGGAATTATCTTGCAGACTTTCAGGTTCAGGGAGTGGAGCGTGGGGGTTACTGGACAGGTTCATGCCTTTACATCTCCAGCCAGAAAATTGGCAATATAATATGAATTCGAAAGACCGCATGATCTACAAATCTACAAATCTATAAATCGAAAATCCTCAACCCCGAATCCCCGAAACATACATCGACATGCTAGCACCCTAAATCCTTAAGTTCTCGACCCTAAATGTTGAACCCAATGCCCTGCAACTTTTGAACCCCGCAACCCCAAGGATTCGTTTAAGGGTTCCCTTAAGAGTTCCTTTTTCTGGGCCAGAGTCCCTTGCCTACCGCCTACCTAGGCAGAAAAGGTGAGACCGTGGGCACAAGGGGCGGCTTCAAACTGGCGGGTTCTGGCTTCCGCCAAACTTTGCTGATTTTGATGACCTGAGGAAATATATTGAGTCGGAGGATTGGAAACCTTGTTTTCCCAAGTAATATACTTGTTAGTGTACACTAAGCAATTCTGTCTCGGTCCTGCGACCCTCCGTTTGCCAGTCTCCAACGTGTTCGCGCAGTTGGGTTTATAGCTGAGTTGCCCGAGGCGGTCGTCCCCACTGGTTCTCAAAATATGGCCAGTGAGTTTGATACGCTTCGCTCGAACCAACTCCGAAAACAGTTTGATTTCGTTGCTACTGGGTTTGTACTTCTTCATTTCCTCACTCGCTTTCCTGAATACAAAGTCACTCGTATTCGCTCGGTTCGCATCAGTACTATCTATCCCTATAGGGCCCTAGGATCCTTCTAATTCCTCTCAATTGAAACGCTGTTGTTTCTTCTGCATCGATTGAGTTGAACCGTTTGCAGGTAGAAGTTTGTTTCTGATGATGGCATCATCCAATCATACATGTGTAACTTCCAGTGCGCTGGACACTGCACAACCTTCCAAACACTGGTTAGCTTATATCAAAATTGAATGTGTCATGCATGTTGTGGATGATTTCATATCTTACATCTATGGCTTGCGTGATTGATATCCCATATGTGTCCCCTTAGCCCGAAACCTTAAACCGTACACCCCAAACCGTAAGCCTTAACCCTAAGCAGCTGAGGAGCATTTCCAGCCATGGACATGCTGTCCTCATCTCTCCTCAGAGGTGGTTTGATGAGCCTTTAGGGTTTAGAGTGTCCACCACTGTTTAGGGTTTCGGACTTAGGGTTTAGGGTTTAAGTTTTAGGGTGTATTCTACCAAACTACAACATGAGGCTTGATGTCCAGAGGCAATCTTTTGGTAACCCAGCGAACGCGCCAAGAATTGCCCAAATAAGCCACAGTCTTCAATCCCAGCCACAATCCTAAGGCTTAGCCCTCCCTGGACATGAACCCAAAACACCCAGCCCTACACGCCTATGCCGCCAAAGATCCGCAGCCCTCGGATGTCTCGCATGTCTTGCCACGGCGGCGGCACGGCGGACGTTGGATTGCCATGGAACCCTTGCCTGAGTCTGCCAGCAGCAGCAGTAGTAGTAGTAGTAGTAGTAGTAGCAGTAGTAGCAGTATTAGAAGTAGTAGTAGTAGTAGTAGTAGTAGTAGTAGTAGCAGTAGCAGTAGTAGCAGTAGTGGCGGTGGTGGTGTAGTGGTGGTGGTGGCGGTGGCGGTGGCGGCGGCGGTGGCGGTGGCGGTGGTGGTG